GAGATCTTGGCTGCACCAAGAGTAACTGAGTAGATCATCTTAGTGCTCTAACAGGAATATACGATCGAAGGAGTTCAGTAAGGTAGCTCAGCACTGTGTTGTTGATCATTTTAAAGTAAGCAGCAGTATTTTAATTTAGATTTAATGGGTAGCCAGCGCAGGTTAGCTAGAACAGGCGTAACAGAGGCAAACCTCCCAGCTCCAGTCTGAAGGCGTGCCGCCGCATTTTTGAACAGTTTGCAGTCTGTGAAGAAGAGCAGACTGAAGACCGAAATAAAGGGAATTGCAGTAATCCAGCCCAAAGGCCTGAATAAGCTTTTCCAGGTCCTTATGCGGAACGTAATGCCTGGTCTTGGAGATGAGACGCAGTTGGTAGAAACTAGATCTACAGCAGACACTTGTTTATCAAATTTAAAAGAGCTGTGCAGCAACTCGCTCAAATTGCTAACAGTAGATCCAGGCGGATGGTGGAGGGGTTGACGCTGATGCAGGCAGCAGCAGCACTGCTGATGTTTCTGAGGCAGAGTTAGAAAACTGCTCAGTTTGGGCTGGAGTGTTTGGTGTCAGCGAGGACGTTGGTGTTTATATAGACACATATACTTTTACAAACAACTATGGATGTCTTACAGTGTTTGGAATAATGTTTTCATCTTATCTTCTGTAATTCTTTTTATTTGAGGATACTATCCGTCTGTTCAGCACTCCGCCGACACTTGATGTCCTTTAAATGTGCTATAATGCACCACAGCTTCAGTTGCCTGCATGAAGCAGCTCGCTATGTTATTCCACTTTCTCCAAAACCTGTCTGAATCACTTTTTAAAAAACCAAAAACACACAGTGATTTATATTTTTACATTTGTGTCCTCAGGCTTTACAACAATAACATCACAGATGTTGGAGCCAGGCTTGTTGCTCAGATCATCGAAGAATGCCCCAAACTGCGAGTTCTCAAGTAAGTTAAACATATCTCCATTTGGGGAAAAAACCAACATACATTACTAACATTACTAACCTTGAATACTTGGACATTACTTTGTAGGATTGGTAAAAACAAGATCACCAGTGTTGGTGGGAGGCATCTGGCCAACGCCATAAAGAAGAGCTCGTCAATATTCGACGTTGGGTAAGAATTCAGTGTTCATCCAGGAAATTCAGCAAAGTGCTGAGGCGTAAGAAACAAAGTAAAAATGCAGCTTTAATGGTGACAGAGGAAGTTTCTAGCATTTATTCTGAGCGTTTGGGCACAACAGAAATAACCCTGGTGACTGAAACCAGATGTGACAAAGAGAGAAATCCCACCGAGAGGCATTTTTAGCTGTGTTGTTTAGCCCAGCTGCAAACATTTGAGGAAGGACTTGGTAACGAGGTGCCTGATCAGGCTTTCTGTGCATTTTTGCAGGATGTGGGGCAACAGTATCGGCGATGAGGGAGCAGAAGCATTTGGAGAAGCTTTGAGGAACCACCCGAGCCTCACCAACCTCAGGTAGGAAGTTATAAAAACGGCACAAAAATAAAAACGCCCATTCAGACTTACTGATTAAAATCTTTACTCTTTTTTTGTCTTCTAGTCTGTCGGCCAATTGCATTACATCCAGAGGTGGGCGGGGCCTGGCTGAAGCACTGAAAGAGAACACGGCACTCAGGATATTCTGGTACGTGCAGTCTGTATTATCTCAGTCGACATCAGTAATGTAGGAGAGCTGGGATGCGCCACCTGAACTCGCAGCGCAGCGCTTAAATGCATGGTTGACCTTATGGATGTGGAGCTACGTCAGTGTCAATGCTGCCTCTCCAGAGTGACTACAGTCTCAGGGCTGTGTGCCGTTACTGTTTGTGCTTTTTAGGTTGGTGGAGAATGAAATGACCGATGATGCAGCTCCACACCTGGCTGACATGATTCGGGCAAACACTGGTCTGACCCACCTGTGGTGAGGACAACACAGCATCAGTCTGCACCCTGTTTACACAGCATGGAGCTCTTACACAGCTCAGTGTCCTTTGTAAGTCACTGCTTGTTTGTCTGCAGGTTAATCAGCAACCGGTTCACTGTGGAAGGGATCAGGCAGCTCGCTGAGGCCCTCGCTCACAACAAAGCACTCAAAGAGATATGGTGAGCATCAGTTCAAATTGACATCTTGGTCTTTTGTTCTCCCCTCAAGGTTATGTCAGACCAAGCAGAGGGTGGGTGATTATTTGAAGTCCAACTTATTCTGGACACAAACTTTAGGGACGGATCGGTAACTGTGAGGCTGTTGAATGCTCTGCTATCACTTCCAACATGAACGAAGACAGGAAACTAAACAGCAGTGATGTTTGCAGGGTTACTGAAGTTGGGCTAGCTCAGACCTTCCCAAAGTGTGGGGCCCGCCCCCTAGGGGGGGCGCAGAGCCATTGCAGGGGGGGGGCGCAGTGTGAAAAGGGGAAAAAAAACAAACAAGGCTTGGACACTGCTAGCACGGGGCGCCCACACAAACGCAAAGCAGGAGATGAAGCGTCGCTGAATGTTTCCAAACCAACTTCATCTTCCCTTTGGCTTCACCTGCACAGGTGCTGAGGTAGGTCTCCCTGCAGGGACTGGTTTCCCTGCATCAGGAGCAGCGCTGGGCTCTTCAAATCACGGACAAACAAGATCCCACATTCTTGATTTTTAGTTCACAAACACTTGTTGTAATGACTAACTGCTCCTGACATGTTGGAGATGTTTGCTCTTTATACAGTAAAGTTACAGCTGGATACAAATAACATCAGGCTGATCCTGCCACGATTTTGTGTTTAAACCCATTTTGCACAGAGAGGCATTTTTTGAAAAATGTATTGATGCAATGTTGAATATTATTAGACAGGAAAAACAACTACACGTAAAATAATCCCACCGTGACGCCTCTGCCTTTGTAAATGGAGGGACAGTAACTGCGTGTAAACCTGCAGACAGTCAGATTAACAGTATTTGTCTCTATCTGCTATTCTGCAATTCATCCCATGTAAACAATAACGTGGCCACAGCGTGACGTGGAAAAAGGCTCATACCTCTGACGCTGCGTGACGAACTCTGTATTCCTCGTCCACACGGAAACGCAAAAAAGGAGTTTTAGAAAAAAATCTCAGTTTTCGGTGATTGGAAACGCCGTTTACGTGGACGAAACAGCTGCGTGTTCAAAAATACCCGTGCAGGTGCGGACGCAGCGTAACAGAGTTGGTAGTTTATTTCATTACTACCTGTAATTTATTGCAGATTATTGTATTTGCTTAATTGTTTACTAAATGTTTGAGGAGTGAAATAAACCACAATGGAGCAAAACATTTTTCATGTAAAACAAAGGGGGCCAGCAAAAAAAGTTTGGGAACCACTGACTTAAAGATTGGATATCCCACCTGCTGTGATGGTTTAATGCGGTACAGATGTTTTTATTATCATTACGTCACATCCTGTTTATGACAATTAAGATAAATAATATTCTTATAAGAAATAAAATTGTCTCATGTGCACACTACTGTACTTTAATGCGGGTCATAAGGGTGGTATGTTAGAATTTATGAGGTGGTACTCATTGTGAAAAGTTTGAGAACCACTGATCTGATCATCAGGCGCCTCTACTGTAAGGTAGACCCTACAATAATGGACTAGTGCGTAAATAGGCTCAAAGGGTGTAGCTCTGCTGATGGCTCTCATTTCTCTGTTGAAACGGAAAGCGAGCGAATAAAATAGAGGAATGAAGCTGTCCCAAGTCATTTCAGGTTCAGTAAAAAACAGGAAATTTCTGCTTTCTGTATTACTGAGGAGGAAGGAAAAACATCATTCAGATGTTCAGCGGAGACAGAATGTATTGATTCATCAGTAAAAGGTCTATTGAGATATTACCGATGATGAATGAAAGAAAAACACAGCATAAGCTAAAGTGTCGGGCCAGTACACGCCACCAGAAGTAACTGGTGGTGGGGACGTGTTGATCTCCTCGATCTGGAGCTGAGCTGGATCCACATTGGACCCAGACTAGCAGGGAGATGCCCTCTACAACACTAGGTCCAGCTTCTCCCCGTCACCCGTCTTTGACAGCATCCACAGAGTGAATTGCAGGTTACGTGGGGCCGTCGTTAACGTTGTCCTTGTGAATGCATGACTGGAGTCTGATTGTATTTCTACAGCGTGAAAGGAAACCGGCTCTCTGAAGAGGAAGAGCAGCAGTTTGTGTCGGAGAAGCGGCTGCGGTTCCACTGACTGGGCACCTCACATGACGCATGCACGGAGCTGAGTGAAGGAGGAAGTGCGCTCGGTCCGTGTGCTGGTGTCAGCAAACAGTTTCACCCGATGCTGCGGGGATAAAGTCGCACCACCTCCATTGTCTGTGTTTTTATCTATTTAATATTCTTAAGCGAAAAACCCAGAATGTTTCTTTTTGAAATCTCTGAACGACATCATCGTGTTTCATTTTGGGGACTTTCCCCTAAAATTTCAACAAGGGTTTCAGTTTTCCACAAAAGTTAGGAAGTGGGAGCTTAAACAAGAAGTATACAGCATGCTGACTTCCTCACATGCACACCTTGTTTTGTGTGTACTGTAAATGCTCTTTTATATTCATCTTACTGTTACACAAATGCTGTTTTTCACTTGATGGTGTTTCAAAGGTCTCGAACTCTTTCCTGTGTTCCTGCATAGATGTGACCTAAAGTGTTACAAGAATAAATAAGTGGAGCCCAAACACTCCTGAGTGGCAAATGTGTGAATGCGGTTCCTGTGTCGAACACGGGCGAAGACTTTGATTCGCCTGTTTCAGACGTGGCCAACACGTCAGTATATCACTACCAACGTGTTTTACACATGGCCTCAAGTCCTTGTGTTGGAATGTTTGTGCGTGTTTGTTTAGGAAGAAAACAAAGCAAAATGCTTCATTGTGGTCGATTCAGTTAAAAAACATTGTCCAAGCAGCCGTCTGATTGGTCCAGGTAATCTTTAATAAACAAACAGGCAGCGTGGTCGTTTCAGAGAGCCGGAGCTCCTTAACACAGGTGCCTTGATGTGCTGTTCAGTATGAACATTAACCCAGGCTGCTAGCTGCTTGGACCCCACAGGCTAACAGACCTACATGCTGTGAAATCCTGTTTCTGTGGATGCACATACAGAAATATTCAAGCTTGCTATGATTCTTTTGTTGTACAGGTTGTTTGTCGGGGCTCAGACCCGACAGTTTGCACACTATCAAACACAGCAGCACCCAGCAGCTCGGAGCCTCTCGTTTGATCTTTGAGTGATTTCTTCTTTTTCTTAGTTGGTTTATTTGTCTCAGCTTTCTGCCACTTACCTGAGTTCAGGTATAAACACACCACACCTTCCCTCAGCAGGCTGTAGTCTGCACCACCACTTACTTTTATTTAGCTTCAGGTTCGTTCTCCTCCCTCGCTCACCATGTGTGGTTTCAAAATGAGATGATGATGATGATGATGATGGCCAAAATGCTGGGAGCGTCATGAACCCAGCACATTTACCTTGTGCTTCTTCAGACAGTAGAGACCAAATAACTGGAAAAAGTCTGAGACAGGACCGTCTCATATATTCACATTAGAACTGTTTTATTCTTTGGGATAAGCAAAGGTCCAGTATTGATCAGCCTCCATGTGCCTACAGTAATAAGTGCCAGATTTTCTGCCTGCCAGTGCAAACAGGGGAAGCCCCATCGTGGTGACCCAAGTTACACAATAATGCAAAAAGCCATTGGAGAACTGAGAATCTGAGGCTGGTCACTGAAAGAGTTCACCCAGCTCCCATCATGGTGTGGACTGTCATTTAGCATCTAATGGGGCGTCACTGCAACTAGTAACACCTGTCATTAGTTTAACTTTATTAATCACTCTGTAAGACAGATTTACAGGGCTCTGATTGGATGGCGTTCGGCTGACGTTAGGGTAGATCCTGGCTACAGCCTGGGCTGTGACACACCTCCGTCAGTGTAAATGTATCTAACCATGCAATGAATCCCTCACATATGTTCATATATGAAAGAAGAAGAAGACGTACGTCAACGTTATGTCTCAGTTCATCTATACGATTTTTATTGTGGCCTCTTAAAAATTTTGGAACTTTTCTCTTATTTAATTATCTGTGGAGGTCTTTCTCACTAGGAAAGCTGTGAAACGTCAGAAAACAGCCACAGAGTCTGAATCGAGATTAAAGTGTCATCAGAGTATGAAAGGTCACTGACACTGGGTGACTTCGAGTGACGATGGGACGATGACAGCTGGTGACTTTGACTCCTCAGCTTGCTCTTGTACCAGCTGTAAAGCAACGCCAGGCGTGTTTACGCGTGGGTCTGTGGGCTCTGATCAGGAACGAGCCTCCCGTGACATTTACAGGAGCTGTAGTTTTTGGATGTGTGCTGATGTAACCAAAGTCCCGTACTGAGCTCAGATATAACGTCTTCTCCTGAGGAAGACCACGCCACGTGGCAGAAAGCTCTGGAAATGTTTTGCTACAGAGTTGCAACTATAATTTAACTGCACTCGTAACATGCTCTCATTTAACGCCAGCCTTTAAAAGTTCAAGGATTCAGCGTGGTGTCAGAGCCACTGTGGTATTAGAGGTGTCTGTGTTATTGCAAAATGATGGAAATACAAAAACCCACACGGACAGGAGAGTGAAACGTCAAAGTCATCTTTTAAGGCCAGATTTGTTGCACATTTCCTCATAAATTCACAGACAGAAATGAAAAGACAGGCGGACCTGCTCACAGGAATCAGCTGCATGATCAGTCAGGGGAAAGTGGTTGTAATCTCTTGCAGAATTCAGATCAGAGAGAGATGACGGTACAGTCAAAGCCCCGTGAGATGTCCATCAAGCAGCCACGTGGTCGCTCTGTCGCTACAAACGCACCGATCCTGCCTCCACGCACTGTGCGAAGGGAGCGTGTCACCGGGCTCGGTTAATCTCCGTGTGGCCGTCCGATTTCCAGAATACAGTGTGACGATTCAGCAGTCACGAGTGCGCCGGGGTGGATCCCAAAACTCCAAACGCCCACCAGAGAACCACACTAGCTTCAATACATTCAACAACGACTCCCAGCTGACTCACGAGACGTGTGTGTGTTCAGTGAGGGACTGTGTGAAAATGGTCAGTGAGAGGAGGGGCTACAGGGGTCGGCGTGTTCTGCACTTCTGTCATTCGCTCATGAAAACTTTTAATGATGTAAAAAGTTTACATTTCACAGAGTCCAGTGTTTCATCTTAAAAAACGTCATACTTTCACAGAATACACCCCCGACACACACATTACATGTCATGGAAGACACGGTGAACGCAGCAAGAGTCACAATAAAAAGCAAAGTTAGCACGATCATAAAAAACATCATTATAAAATCTTTTCAGCCATTGAATCATTTTTGGGAGATACAAAAACCAAACAAACTGCTGCCTGTGATTCTTTTTACATATTTATATAAGCACAAAATGAATGTTGACTTCGCACAAATCAGTCGGCGTTTGAGGAATGTGTAGGAAAGCAATAATGAAACGTAAACCATGGTTATTCTATTAAAACCATTTTCCCTCCCTCCGCACCGCCATCATTTTCTCACGGTCTCTAAGATCACAGACGACACAGGAACCTTTCATGTCCTGCTTTCATGATAAAAATCTCAAAAATAACGTCAAGCACATCAAGATCATAAGTGAGAGCGCACTGCCTCCCAGTGGTGGAGAGCAGCAACTACAGAAACTGCAAAACAAAAAGGATCCTGTCTCTACAGACTAGAAGGCACACATCTAAACAGACATGTTTCTGTCTCCCATTATTCTCATATTTTAAACAATATATTAATGTTTGATTTCAAACACTTTACTATGTAAATAAGTTCAATTACCAAAATGACAAATCTTAAAAAACCTCGGGTTCGTAGCCAGTCTCCACCTCCATAACACGATGCAGCTTCTGCATGATTTCAAGCATAAAAAGAAAATCCCAAATATCACTTATAACTGCATATTGTTCATTTAATGATGATAATTACAAGATGAGAAACTAGTCACAGAAGCCTGGAGGTCACTGAGTGGCTGCCTGGTGTTGCGAGAGAAAAACGTGTGTTCTCTGATTGGTGGGTGAGTGGTAGTCAGTGGTCACAGAGAGGTACAGGCTGCTGCTGTGGTCACTCGCAGTTTGTATGGAGGTCGCTGACTTGTCTTCAGACATTCACTAACGACTTACCGATCATCTAAAGGTGGCCACGGCAATCTGCTCGCAACCAGAGCAACTGGAAGGAGGTTTTTGGTGTAGCATCCTCTTTGCAACCCCCAGCAAACGCTCACAGACTGACTGCGCAATCAGGAAGGGTGCATTTAGTCTTCACAGGCAAAAGAGACTGAGGGAAAAGGATGACAAGTTTCAGGTGTTTTGGAGCTTTGGGATCCACACAAGCCCTGGATCAGTAGATGGGTTTGAACTTAGCTCGTCCTCCAAGGCTGAGCGTGAGCTTGTTGGTGAAATCAGTATCAAGGACTTGACTGGTTCCTCAGCGAGGTCTTCAGGCACACCTAACCCCAAACAGACAGGTCCAGTTAGTCCCTCCAGTTCTGTTTAGCTTACGTTCCCTCAGCCTCAGCACCTGGACTGCTGCATTTGCCAGGATCGAGATCAAGTTGCTGACTCCCAGTGTGACGGTCAGTGCCTGATAAAGCTTCACAGAGCTCACTGCTTTCCTGGGACCTTTATAGTCCTGCAGCTCCTCACAAGTAAACTGTCTCAGTCTGGTGCAACACTGTACTGTGAGGGCTCGGTTTACCTGCAGCTGCTACGGTTATGATGCAGAAATGAACACGAGCTGACAGAAGTGATAAAAAAAAACTGAAGCTCATTTTTACAGGAAGGAACACAAAGCTAAAAACTGAAGGTCTTGAAAGGTTTTCCCACATTGTCTCGTTACCAGATCCCGTCCATGATGGAACGAGACATTATTTATGTCCAGACATATTCTGTTCACACGCTCTTTACCCTGGTGTTGAATAAGCAGGTTCATGCAGGTTCTGCAGCATGCACTGGAGCCGTTTGCAGCCACGTGTACGGCAGCCTGGATGTTATACCTCAAGATCCTGGTGCTTTGCTGGAAAACTACAGACTGACATCTGCTGGTGGGGACAAAGTATTTCAGGTCCTGATGAAGTTGGGTCTGGTCTGTGGAGGTGAACGTGATGTCTGAAAGTGAAGCTCCAGCTTTACTAGCAGAGGGTTAAAATCTCCATCCATCCATTTTCTTAACCACGTATCCAAAAGTCGGGCTGTAGCCTTTTCCAGCCAGGAATGTGGGCTAACTTGAGGGAAAGAAGAGACTCGGACGGGGAAGAACTGCTCCCCGTGTGGACGCGGCTGAAGTCGGATAAGCAGTTAAAAAACAGGATGGGTGGATTTTTAATTTAGTCTCATTTTGCCACATGCTGTCGTGTCCCATTGTTCTGGCATGCACAACACTTATCGTGTCACAGAAGTAGCAGCAATGTGCTGCAGTGGGTTTAGGCTGGTGAGTGATGGACTGGGCTCCTGTACCTGTGTGGGCGGGGTCTAAAAAGCACTGATGACTGAGTGTTTGACAGTAGTCACAGTTGACTGGCACCGTTTCTGCAGCAGCTGCGAGAAGCTGCAGACGCAGACACGCCGTCTCTGGCTTGTTTCTCCTGCTCGGGTGGAATGGCAGCTGTGGTAAGATGGTCCTGGTGGTGGTGGGGGTTGTAGGGCG